GTTTAACTATTTCCTAACTTACGCTTTTATTCCACGGAACGAGTACTTGTTAACTTCTTTTGCTATTTGTAATGCTAATTCTCGCGTTGGCGCTAAAATTAATATATTTGGACCATTACGTTTCTCACGTGGTGTAGTCTGTCCATCAGTATGAATCAAAGCAGGAAGCAGAAATGCTAAAGTTTTTCCAGTCCCTGTTTGGGCTATACCTATCATATCCTCGCCTCTCAATAATATAGGCCATGCTTGCTTCTGTATTGGTGATGGTTCATTAAAATTTTGTTTCTTTAACTCATCAAGGATATCAGGATAATCTTTGAAACAATGTTGAAATTTCCAAATTGGTTTCGGTATATCAGGACACATTTGATCTTCATTTGTCACCAAACGGGAAACACTTATATTATTGTTTAAATAACGCATTTCATTCACTTCTTCTTCTGTCTTAATAGCGACTTCCTCTACTTCTTCATAAAAATTTTTTCTCAAGTCTGGCAGATGCGCCCAGTGTAACCTACGATGTTCTTCCTGTAATCAAAAATGCCTCATGTGAGCAAAATAAATATGGTAAATCGATAACTTAATATGTAGATTTTAAAAATTTTTCTTACAACTTTTCTATTCAAAGTTTCCCAATCGATAGGCTGCAATACTACATGGTTTTCGGCGCCACCATTATATACATTTTTCGTAGGCGCATTTAATCTAATTCCACCACTTTCTCCCTAAATTAATTTTGTTATGAGATATTATATTAATATATATCCATATTCTCATTCTTTTTAATTTATACTTACAGATTTTGGAGCTGCAACCTGAATATTGTCATTTTCGGAAGAAGCATTAAAACGATTCATTGTATTTTCTTTTAATACAACTTTGGGATTGTGCGAGACTTCGTGATTTGGAAATGAAAAATTTCTATTTTCTTGACCAGACATAATATCACGAATATATTTGACTGCATCGTCAACATTTTTTCTATTACGACCCTTGACAGAAATTTCCTTGGTGTCATTGTTTATATGTATATAAACGTTGAAGTTTGTTCTAATTTCTTTAATTTTACAACCGCCACGACCAATTATGGCACCAATGTAAGCAGGGTCTGCAGGAAATTTCTCCATAAAATCATCAAAATGATTTAAGTTTGAGTTTAAAACTCCACACTCGTTCCTTTCAGATTGAGTTGCACCAGTTCCAAAAGTATCCATTTTGAAGTAAGCAAAATCTAAATAAAGGAATACCTGATTATTCCGTTTTCTATAAAACGAACCAAATTTCAAACATTCAAATCGCGACCGCTTTTACGAACTCCTCAATCATAAGATATGAAACGGTATTTAAAATTGACTATTAGAATTAAAAATATGTTTAACATTGATTATTAGGGAATAAAGCAATTGCACTCTTATGTTTAAAGTATGTCGAAAATAATACTGCCGCCGCCTTCTTAAGTCTCATCACGCAATGATTCTTATATAAATATTTCAAATGGAGATTTTTTTTGCAAATACGTCACATAACCTTAAATATATGTGAATTGCAGTGATTTTTTTTTTATAGTTAATTTTTGTTTTTTAATTATAGTTTTAAAATTCTTTAAATAAAGAAACAATGATTTCTTTAAAACTTTTTGTTTAATATGTGCATTATATTTGCAGTTATTTCTTGGAACAAGCAAAATTGGCGGCTGTTTCAAGTTCTTGTCGGTTGCGAAAACAAATCAAAAATTCTTAATACTATAAAATATTTTTAACAAGTTCCAGAATTAATTGAAAAAAGTTGAACATATATTCGAACTGAAGTCATGAAACACGTATCAAGTATCACGAATCACGAATCATGAATCACGAAACACGAATTTTTTGGAGGAAGATACATACCAGCCTTAAAACCAAATCCAATTGAAAAAACACAAGCCGCTAAAAAAACGATCCGACCACCGACTCGTCTCTTGCAAAAGTAACCAATGAACAAGAAAACTTGTGTCGTTCTTTCAAAATTAATATAAATACATTTGGCAGCCCATACTCAAATTTGCGTGATGTAACTATATTAATTTGGTTTAGACTTTTTGGACACAAATGAATTTCACAAGGGGATAAATCGGATTAGCACACTATTTAATAGGTAAGCCCACATACTATTTTCATACTACATGTGTTAAATTATAAAAGTTTACAAAGTTCTGACATATTCATATCAAATTCATATAATCATATCAAATTCAATTCATAAAATTACGGTTACATTGATAAGAACAATGTACCGATTAGCATTCTGAGAAGAGCGTCTCAGAAGAACCTATACACTAATAACTCGATTAACAGCTACTTCGTACAACAGTAACCTCGATTAACGACCCAGCCGTATTTCTGATCGTGTTTAGCTTAACAGTGAAGAAAACGACAAACATGTCTTTTATAATGCAAGTAAGAGCTGGTTTGAGAATCAATATACCATAAAACTTTCTGCAAAAGGTACAACATTAAAAATGTCATACTAATGTCAAACAGAGATCAGTCGTGGAAAAAAACAAAAATGTGATCTCTTAAGAAATTTTGGAAGCACTTACGTCTGGAATACGTCGTCAAAACCCTGTGCCTGTACCTTATACCAACGTAAATGAAAAATCTGCTAAATTTGCGGAGAAAGAGGCAACTAGAGATCTCAAAATTAAAGATCTATTTCGTCAGAGTAGCTCGGATTGTTTTTGAGTTCATTATATTAATAATTATGTTAATGATTTTTTATATATTTTGTGCAATAGGCGGTGATTTATTCAAAATATATCGTTTGGTTTTCCCTTTTGTGTCTATTGATTTATCAATGGCCAATCTTTTGTCGCGAGTGTTATAAAATATTGAAAAATAATTTCATTCTAAAATGATAATGATAAATGCTACATCATTTTGAAGAGCTACTCAATTCACTTTGAAATTCTGTTAATTAGCAACCGACATGTAAATAAGAAATCATACAAACGGATTAAATATCAAACAGAATTTTTTAATTCACTCTAACCGTAATCGACTCTACCCCATTTACTGTGATTGAAAATCGTAGTATCAATTATCATATATCACAATATTATATTAATCATACAAATATTAGAGATCTCTCTCAAAGGTAAAGATGCCTTTAAGCTCCGCAATCCAATAATTCTAACGGATATGCCATTTCAATTCAAAAGATTGCAATTCACAATTCTATTGGCGTCTGCAATCACCATCTAAAGCGAGCTTAGTTCAATATTTAGGATACTGTGGTTCAACTCTCAACACAGATAATCTTCCACATGAACAACTATATGTTACTTGTTCTATAGTCCACAAATCGAACAATATATATCTACACTCGCAATGGAATAATAAAATAAAATTATTGATAAAATTTATCAATATTTGGAAAGCGTGCTTTCTAATTTCTTTCTTTTCCATTTAATCAGACAGTCATGTTAACACGTATCTGCGTATAGCTGCTTTTATTAAATATTATATGTATACAACTTTAACAAATTTTATTAAATTAAATGACGTTTATTATTTAAATTAATTAAATTAAAGATTTATTTCAAATGACATCGATAACGATCTTCGCTGATCAGATGAATTGATTTCTTAGGAGGTCTTATCTATGGCTTAGTGAGAAATGATCATTCGAAGTGATAGTAAAGATTTCAAGTTAGTATAATGGCATTCATTGGCTTGACTTGACCTTGACTTGACTACAGTACTATACTTGAGCAGTGATCAATTGTCTATCAATTGTCTGTTTAAAATAACATTCAAATTAAATATGTATAATGTGAAAAAAATATATATTTTATATTAAGTTCATTTTATACCTCATCCAATACATTTATGAATCCTATTAAAACTGAATCCTATTAAAATTCATTTTAAATGAAACAACTAGAAAACTTACTAATACAGAAATTTAATCAACTTTATCAGCCTCTGATTAAAAATCGTATATAGCGATTACAATATTTAACTCACATCGTTGCCTGTACAAATAATTAATCTCCATCTTAAAAAAATTTCAAATAAAATATCTTATTTTCAGGAAAAAGTTGAAACTTTTACAAACGAAAAAGTAAGAACACAATAGAATCATCATAAAGTTGTAATTGATTAAATTTATTAAATTAACAAAGTTCACTGTATAAAAAACATATTTTAAATATTTCTTATTTAAAACCTTATTCTAAAATGTAATTTTGTATTTCAATTTAAATAATACACATTTTTAATTAATTTTATTTTAGATTTTTCTTATTGTACATTACT